TTCCTGAACCCATTATGCGCCTCTAATCTGTTGATTACCACTCCACACACTCAGGTCCAGGGATCGATTCCCCGGTACGGCTGGAAAACATTAGGACGTGTTTTCATAAGACACCTGCTGTCCATGTTCACCTAGCAGTAAAATAGGTACCTGGGTGTTAGTGGATTGGTGTGGGTCTCATCCCGGGACAAAACTGACCTAATTTGTTAGGAAATACTTGTCATGTTCCCTGACAAATCTTACCTAACCTGAAGTGAATGTGCAGACACAGAACTATGAAAATAATAACTAAATGTTTATAACCGACAATAATTTTTAAAGGAGTGGACCGGTAAGCCAGCGGAAGGCCTCGGTCAGATGACCAAAAGCTACAACGGCGGGTCATCATCTGAGTAAGATACGCGTCAAGAAACACTTGTCTTGTTTCCTGACGAACCTTACCTAACCTAAGCATAGGACTATGCTTGTGTTCATGGCTCGGTTGGTAGCGGCCTCAGCTCACAGGGGGGACCAGGGATGTATCCCCGGCACGGGTGAAACGTTCGACATGTAATAATAATAATAATAATAATAATAATAATAATAATCTTTATTTCTACAAGTACATATACAACGTATACAGACCATAGCTGACATCAATAACATATTACTATACAGAAAGCCCCTTGGTCAATTTTGTCCCCAGGATGCGATCCACACCAGTTCACCATCATCTAGGTACCTGTTTTACTAATAAGTGAACGTGGACAGCAGGTGCCTTTTGGAAACACGTCCTAATACTTCCAGTGGTACTGGGGACTGCTGTCCCTGTTTACCTAGCAGTAAGTAGGCACTTGGGTGTTAGTTGACAGTGGAAGGTCGCATCCTGGGAAAGGACTCGTTGTATCTTCCAGGTGGGATGGAGAGTGGGAGGAGGTAAAGTTAGAAACTTTTCCATCACAGATGGAAAGAAGACTAAACTGTACGTTTATGGTGTAAAAGCCGCAATGTACTTTTGCGTGTGACGCCTCAAGCACAGCGATTGCAGGTCTCTTCCTCACTACGCAGTAAGAGACACTTAAACCATACCCCCGGCCGGGATTGAACCCGCGGTCATAGAGTCTCAAAACTCCAGCCCGTCGCCCGGTGCCTGTGCTAACTTTCCTATGGTGTAGAAATATACCTAGTTGGATGAATCTTATTGTGGCTAGCTGGTCTAGTGGCTAACGCGACGGGCTGGAGTTTTGAGACTCTATGACCGCGGGTTCAATCCCGGCCGGGGGTATGGTTTATTTGCAATCGTGTCATTACGATTTCTTGAGTCATAGAGACACTTAACATATATTATTGCCACATAGAAGGGCTGTGAGACATACTGCCACAGTGAGATATCTCTCACTAAGACGGTTCGAGTGGAAATGTTAGGACGTGTTTCCATTAGGCACCTGCTGACCCTGTTCAATTTTTCTTAATTCGCTGGTACTCTCCCGGTCCGGGTCTTTTCCAGATGGTGACCCGGCCTTAGCTCCCTGTCTTGGGAGTGTCTGAGACCTATGTCTGTCATGGGAGGAGGTACAGCTTCTGGGACCAACTGGCCCCAGACCCATCCCTATGCTGATGCTCCAACATCTGTCCCTGATGCTCCAACATGTCCTTGATGCTCCACCATCTGTCCCTGATGCTCCACCATCTGTCCCTGATGCTCCACCATCTGTCCCTGATACTCCACCATCTGTCCCTGATGCTCCATCATCTGTCCCTGATGCTCCACCATCCGTCCCTGATGCTCCACCATCCGTCCCTAAGGCTCCATCTGTCCCTGATGCTCCACCATCTGTCCCTGATGCTCCACCATCTGTCCCTGATGCTCCAACATGTCCCTGATGCTCCACCATCTGTCCCTGATGCTCCACCATCTGTCCCTGATGCTCCACCATCCGTCCCTGATGCTCCATCTGTCCCTGATGCTCCACCATCTGTCCCTGATGCTCCACCATCTGTCCCTGATGCTCCACCATCTGTCCCTGATACTCCATCATCTGTCCCTGATGCTCCACCATCTGTCCCTGATGCTCCATCTGTCCCTGATACTCCACCATCTGTCCCTGATGCTCCACCATCTGTCCCTGATGCTCCACCATCCGTCCCTGATGCTCCATCTGTCCCTGATGCTCCACCATCTGTCCCTGATGCTCCACCATCCGTCCCTGATGCTCCATCTGTCCCTGATGCTCCACCATCTGTCCCTGATGCTCCACCATCTGTCCCTGATGCTCCACCATCTGTCCCTGATGCTCCATCTGTCCCTGATACTCCACCATCTGTCCCTGATGCTACACCATCTGTCCCTGATGCTCCACCATCTGTCCCTGATGCTCCACCATCTATCCCTGATGCTCCATCTATCCCTGATGCTCCACCATCTGTCCCTGATGCTCCACCATCTGTCCCTGATGCTCCACCATCTGTCCCTGATGCTCCAACATGTCCCTGATGCTCCACCATCTGTCCCTGATGCTCCACCATCTGTCCCTGATGCTCCACCATCCGTCCCTGATGCTCCATCTGTCCCTGATGCTCCACCATCTGTCCCTGATGCTCCACCATCTGTCCCTGATGCTCCACCATCTGTCCCTGATACTCCATCATCTGTCCCTGATGCTCCACCATCCGTCCCTGATGCTCCATCTGTCCCTGATGCTCCACCATCCGTCCCTGATGCTCCACCATCTGTCCCTGATGCTCCACCATCTGTCCCTGATGCTCCACCATCTATCCCTGATGCTCCATCTATCCCTGATGCTCCACCATCTGTCCCTGATGCTCCACCATCCGTCCCTGATGCTCCACCATCTGTTCCTGATGCTCCACCATCTGTCCCTGATGCTCCACCATCTGTCCCTGATGCTCCACCATCTGTCCCTGATGCTCCACCATCCATCCCTGATGCTCCACCATCTGTCCCTGATGCTCCACCATCTATCCCTGATGCTCCATCTATCCCTGATGCTCCACCATCTGTCCCTGATGCTCCACCATCCGTCCCTGATGCTCCATCTGTCCCTGATGCTCCACCATCTGTCCCTGATGCTCCACCATCTGTCCCTGATGCTCCACCATCCGTCCCTGATGATCCATCTGTCCCTGATGCTCCACCATCTGTCCCTGATGCTCCACCATCTGTCCCTGATGCTCCACCATCCGTCCCTGATGCTCCACCATCTGTCCCTGATGCTCCACCATCTGTCCCTGATGTTCCACCATCTATCCCTGATGCTCCATCTATCCCTGATGCTCCACCATCTGTCCCTGATGCTCCACCATCCGTTCCTGATGCTCCATCTGTCCCTGATGCTCCACCATCTGTCCCTGATGCTCCACCATCTGTCCCTGATGCTCCACCATCTGTCCCTGATGCTCCACCATCCATCCCTGATGCTCCACCATCTGTCCCTGATGTTCCACCATCTGTCCCTGATGCTCCACCATCTATCCCTGATGCTCCATCTATCCCTGATGCTCCACCATCTGTCCCTGATGCTCCACCATCCGTCCCTGATGCTCCATCTGTCCCTGATGCTCCACCTTTGTCCCTGATGCTCCACCATCTGTCCCTGATGCTCCACCATCTGTCCTGATGCTCCACCATCTGTCCCTGATGCTCCACCATCTGTCCCTGATGCTCCACCATCTGCCCCTGATGCTCCACCATCTGTCCCTGATGCTCCACCATCTGTCCTGATGCTCCATCTGTCCCTGATGCTCCACCATCTGTCCCTGATGCTCCACCATCCGTCCCTGATGCTCCATCTGTCCCTGATGCTCCACCATCTGTCCCTGATGCTCCACCATCTGTCCCTGATGCTCCACCATCTGTCCCTGATGCTCCACCATCCATCCCTGATGCTCCACCATCTGTCCCTGATGTTCCACCATCTGTCCCTGATGCTCCACCATCTATCCCTGATGCTCCATCTATCCCTGATGCTCCACCATCTGTCCCTGATGCTCCACCATCCGTCCCTGATGCTCCATCTGTCCCTGATGCTCCGCCATCTGTCCCTGATGCTTCACCATCTGTCCCTGATGCTCCACCATCTGTCCCTGATGCTCCACCATCTGTCCCTGATGCTCCACCATCTGTCCCTGATGTTCCACCATCTGTCCCTGATGCTCCACCATCTGTCCCTGATGCTCCACCATCTGTCCCTGATGCTCCACCATCTGCCCCTGATGCTCCACCATCTGTCCCTGATGCTCCACCATCTGTCCCTGATGCTCCACCATCTGTCCCTGATGCTCCACCATCTGTCCCTGATGCTCCACCATCCGTCCCTGGTGCTCCGCCATCTGTCCCTGATGCTCCATCTGTCCCTGATGCTCCACCATCTGTCCCTGGTGCTCCATCTGTCCCTGATGCTCCACCATCTGTCCCTGATGCTCCACCATCTGTCCCTGATGCTCCACCATCTGTCCCTGATGCTCCACCATCTGTCCCTGATGCTCCACCATCTGTCCCTGATGCTCCACCATCCATCCCTGATGCTCCACCATCTGTCCCTGATGCTCCACCATCCGTCAATGATGCTCCACCATCTGTCCCTGATGCTCCACCATCTGTCCCTGATGCTCCACCATCTGTCCCTGATGCTCCACCATCCGTCAATGATGCTCCACCATCTGTCCCTGATGCTCCACCATCTGTCCCTGATGCTCCACCATCCGTCCCTGATGCTCCACCATCTGTCCCTGATGCTCCACCATCTGTCCCTGATGCTCCACCATATACGATCCACTTCTGCGTCTTCCACTTGTCTACTACGAACTTTATTACGACCATTTATCAAAGATTATAATTAATATTCATTATTCACTTATATAATTCAAGGGTTTTAAAGTTTCTCAAGCATATTTTGGCAAATCTCAAAATTTCCTCCAAAATTAAGATATTTTTGGTCTGAAAAAAATATCATTGATGGAGAAAAATAATTTTATGGATTTCAATTAATTTTTTTTTTCAGATACTTTTCGATGACCAGAAACGAGCAGTTGGGGTTCGTTTTGATCACCGTGAGAAGGTAGGTATCTAGGTAGTGGCGTTCCAGCATTATTGTGGCCCTGAAGCTTGAGCGGTTATGGGGACCCTGAAGCTTGAACTGTTATGGGGGCCCTGAAGCTTGAGCTGTTATATTATTATTATTATAATCAAGGGGGAAGCGCTAAACCCGGAGGATTATACAGCGCCTGGGGGGGGATATGTGGAAGGCATTCAGGCTTAATTTGGGGAACTGGAGCACAGATCCAATTCCCTAAATCAAGAGCCCCTCACCAACTTGAGCTGTTATAGAAACCCTGAAGCTTGAACTGTTATGAGGACCCTGAAGCTTGAGCTGTTATGGGGACTCTCAAGCTTGAGCTGTTATGGAGACCCTGAAGCTTGTGCTGTTATGGGGACCCTGAAGCTTGAGCTGTTATGGGGACCCTGAAGCTTGAACTGTTATGGAGACCCTGAAGCTTGACCTGTTATGGGGGCCCTGAAGCTTGAGCTGTTATGGGGGCCCTGAAGCTTGAGCTGTTATGGGGGCCCTGAAGCTTGAGCTGTTATAGAGCCCTGAAGCTTGAACTGTTATGGGGACCTTGAAGCTTGAGCTGTTATGGGGGCCCTGAAGATTGAGTTGTTATGGGGCCCCTAAAGCTTGAGCTGTTATGGGGCCCTGAAGCTTGAGCTGTTATTGGGTCCTGAAGCTTGAGCTGTTACAGAGCCCTGAAGCTTGAGCTGTTATAGAGCCCTAAAGCTTGAACTGTTAAGGGGACCCTGAAGCTTGAGGTGTTATAAGGACCCTGATGCTTAAGCCGTTATAGTTGCCCTGAACCTTGAGCTGTTATAGTTGCCCTGAAGCTTGAGCTGTTATGGGGACCCTGAAGCTTGAGGTGTAATAGTGACCCTGAAGCTTGAGCTGTTATGGGGACCTGGAAGCTTGAGGTGTTATAGAGATCCTGAAGCTTGAGGTATTATAGGGACCCTGAAGCTTGAGCTGTTATGGGAGCCCTGAAGCTTGAGCTGTTATGGGGACCCTGAAGCTTGAGCTGTTATGGGGACCCTGAAGCTTGAGCTGTTATAGAAACCCTGAAGCTTGAGCTGTTATGGGGACCCTGAAGCGTGAGGTGTTATAGGGACCCTGAAGCTTGAACTGTTATAGAAACCCTGAAGCTTGAGCTGTTATGGGGACCCTGAAGCTTGACGTGTAAGTGACCCTGAAGCTTGAGCTGTTATGGGGACCCTGAAGCTTGAAGTGTTATGGGGACCTGGAAGCTTGAGGTGTTATAGAGACCCTGAAGCTTGAGCTGTTATGGGGACCCTGAAGCTTGAGCTGTTATGTGGACCCTGAAGCGTGAGGTGTTATAGGGACCTTGAAGCTTGAGCTGTTATAGAAACTCTGAAGCTTGAGCTGTTATGGGGACCTGGAAGCTTGAGGTGTTATAGAGACCCTGAAGCTTGAGGTATTATAGGGACCCTGAAGCTTGAGCTGTTATAGGGACCCTGAAGCTTGAACTGTTATGGAAGCCCTGAAGCTTGAGCTGTTATGGGGACCCTGAAGCTTGAGCTGTTATGGGGACCCTGAAGCTTGAGCTGTTATGGGGACCCTGAAGCTTGAGCTGTTATGGGGACCCTGAAGCTTGAGCTGTTATAGAAACCCTGAAGCTTGAGCTGTTATGGGGACCCTGAAGCTTGACGTGTAATAGTGACCCTGAAGCTTGAGCTGTTATGGGGACCCTGAAGCTTGAAGTGTTATGGGGATCTGGAAGCTTGAGGTGTTATAGAGACCCTGAAGCTTGAGCTGTTATGGGGACCCTGAAGCTTGAGCTGTTATGTGGACCCTGAAGCGTGAGGTGTTATAGGGACCTTGAAGCTTGAGCTGTTATAGAAACTCTGAAGCTTGAGCTGTTATGGGGACCCTGAAGCTTGAAGTGTTATGGGGACCTGGAAGCTTGAGGTGTTATAGAGACCCTGAAGCTTGAGCTGTTATGGGGACCCTGAAGCTTGAGCTGTTATGGGGACCCTGAAGCTTGAAGTGTCATGGGGACCTGGAAGCTTGAGGTGTTATAGACACTGAAGCTTGAGCTGTTATGGGGGCCCTGAAGCTTGAGCTGTTATGGGGACCCTGAAGCTTGAGCTGTTATGGGGACCCTGAAGCTTGAGCTGTTATGGGGACCCTGAAGCTTGAGCTGTTATGGGGACCCTGAAGCTTGAGCTGTTATGGGAGCCCTGAAGCTTGAGCTGCTATGGGGACCCTGAAGCTTGAGCTGTTATGGGAGCCCTGAAGCTTGAGCTGTTATGGGGACCCTGAAGCTTGAGCTGTTATGGGGACCCTGAAGCTTCAGCTGTTATGGCATCACCATGGCAACCAACAATGGCTATCCTACCTGGAGTTTACCTGGAGAGAGTTTCGGGGGTCAATGCCCCCGCGGCCCGGTCTGTGACCAGGCCTCCTGGTGGATCAGTGCCTGATCAACCAGGCTGTTGCTGCTGGCTGCACGCAAACCAACGTACGAGCCACAGCCCGGCTGATCAGGAACTGACTTTAGGTGCTTGTCCAGTGCCAGCTTGAAGACTGCCAGGGGTCTGTTGGTAATCCCCCTTATGTGTGCTGGGAGGCAGTTGAACAGTCTCGGGCCCCTGACACTTATTGTATGGTCTCTTAACGTGCTAGTGACACCCCTGCTTTTCATTGGGGGGATGGTGCATCGTCTGCCAAGTCTTTTGCTTTCGTAGTGAGTGATTTTCGTGTGCAAGTTCGGTACTAGTCCCTCTAGGATTTTCCAGGTGTATATAATCATGTATCTCTCCCTCCTGCGTTCCAGGGAATACAGGTTTAGAAACCTCAAGCGCTCCCAGTAATTGAGGTGTTTTATCTCCGTTATGCGCGCCGTGAAAGTTCTCTGTACATTTTCTAGGTCGGCAATTTCACCTGCCTTGAAAGGTGCTGTTAGAGTGCAGCAATATTCCAGCCTAGATAGAACAAGTGACCTGAAGAGTGTCATCATGGGCTTGGCCTCCCTAGTTTTGAAGGTTCTCATTATCCATCCTGTCATTTTTCTAGCAGATGCGATTGATACAATGTTATGGTCCTTGAAGGTGAGATCCTCCGACATAATCACTCCCAGGTCTTTGACGTTGGTGTTTCGCTCTATTTTGTGGCCAGAATTTGTTTTGTACTCTGATGAAGATTTAATTTCCTCATGTTTACCATATCTGAGTAATTGAAATTTCTCATTAGTAATATTTCTATTATTATTTTGTATTGAATTACATTATATTATTAATATCATTTTTTAAAAGCTTATCATACAGTAGATCCAATTTTTTTTATGCAATATGGACTAAAGTCACTTCTAGGGCCCCTCTGGGATTAGTGGCCCTCAAGCTTAAGCTTCATTAGTACCATAGTAGACCCGCCATTGCATTGAGGTGTTCCGTATACACAAAATATTATCAGTCAGTCTTATATCTCTTATTTAAGAGAATATACTCTAGCTATCAACAGCTGATAGTCATGAATGTTTCCAGGCGAATTTCTCTACTGGTCTGAGCATCACTTTGCTGAAGGATGTAAAGTGATGTTGCAACTCTGCAAATATCAGTCTGGATACCACCAACTATTTGTACCTGAGGTCGCTTAGGATATTCCACCTCTACTGCCTCCTTGTCTTTTATAAATTCAAATATAGATATATACATTATATAATATATGCAGAAACCACTGGAAGAATAGCGAAATTCCAAGCACTTCTGGGACTTCTCACATTATCAAGGAACTCCATACTGCGACTAGCCTAGGACTCGAACCCATGTTGTTTTGCTCCCCCCCCCCCTCATGATGAGCGAAAATCACATGATGTTTTAACCCATGGGACCACTCAATCCTACAAGAATCAAGCACCCAACAGAGCTAGGTGTTTTACCTTGATCCGAGGACATAAGGTGGTGTGGGTGCCTCTGAGCTAATTTCATTCTACTCCCCGTTTGGTATACTAGCCTCCACAAGCAGTATATATATATATTATTGTAACCACGAACGAGTGGTATTTAAACAGTAACAACATTGCAACTCGCCGAGGACTCGAACCCATGTCGTTTTGGCCCGCCTCATGGTAAACAACAATCACATGACGCTCTAACCCACAGAATCAAAAGAGTGAGTTCTCTCCATTTCCTGATTGTTATTACTAATTCGTGATGACATGACTTTAGGGCGATGAAGTTCGAGTGTGGACAGTGTGGACAGTGTGGACAGTGGTGGTGGTTTATTCGTGTCAGGAAACAAGTGTTCCCTGACACGGGTCTTATCAGATGATGACCCATGACTAGTAAGTAAATTTATTCAGGTATACACAAATGCAGTTACATAGATTATCATACATAGCAGTATATGTGTAGAGAACCTGGGATAACCCAAAAAAGTCAGAGTGAGTTATTTCCAGGTTAGCCATCCACTGGTGTACCACAACTAGGCCTTGCACACCACTGAGAAGCAAGATTCCTACAAACCTAGAGATACTGCCCTGCTTATGCTCCATCACTGACAACTTATGCATGCAGTATAGTTAATTCTTTATAGTGATTAATAGGGTAAACCCCCCAAAAAATTTGAAACACATTTACCATAATTCACCCAATCGCTTTCTTGTCAGAAGTGTGCTGACATCTGGTGGCCTGGTGGTTAACGCTCTCGCTTCACACGGCAAGGGCCTGGGTTCGATTCCCAGCCAGAGTAGAAACATTGGGCATGTTTCTTTCCACCTGTTGTCTATGTTCCCCATCAGTAAAATGGGTACCTGGGTGTTAGTCGACTGGTGTGGGTCGCATCCTGGGACACTGACCTAATTTGCCCGAGATGCTCAGCATAACAAGTGGCTTTCTATGTAGTAGTATGTCATTGTTGTCAGCTAGGACTGTATACCATGTACATGTACTTGTAGTAAATAAAGATTATATATTATATATATTATGACACTCTGAACTGCGGTATACCAACCTCTCTGCAGAGTGCAGGCTCTGTACCTCTCACCTCCATAACAGTTTTGTTTCCACCTGTATGTAGTACAGTGGACCCCCGGTTAACGATATTTTTTCACTCCAGAAGTATGTTCAGGTGCCAGTACTGACCGAATTTGTTCCCATAAGAAATATTGTGAAGTAGATTAGTCCATTTCAGACCCCCAAACATACACGTACAAACGCACTTACATAAATACACTTACATAATTGGTCGCATTTGGAGGTAATCGTTATGCGGGGGTCCACTGTATTTGCTCCAAGATTATTAACAAAGAAATTAGAGAGCATGATCTCGAAATATGAATTGCAGTTTCACGAATTAATAATTTTCGATTGACTATTGTTGCAGGCACGAACTGTGTTAGCCAAGAGAGAAGTGGAGGTGTCAGCCAGGTCGATTGGTTCTCCACACCTTCTCATGTTATTAGGCATTGGTCCAGCTCAGCACCTCACTGACCATGGTGTGAGTACTAGGTCATAATATTAGCAGTGGTGAAAACAGTGGTGACTCTCTGTCGCAGTTCCACTAGTGATAAGTGTCCAGTGGAATCTTATTCAAATATATATATTATATATATATATATATATTATATATATATATATATATATATATATTTATATATATATATATTTTATATATACAGTGGGGCTCCAGATATCGTACGCACCTAATATCGTACATTTCGCATTCAGACCACTTTGTGAGCAAAATTTTGGTCCGGATTTCATACCTCCAACCGGAAATTGTACATATCATACATATGCGTCCACCTGCCAGGGAAGCCGCCACTCGTGCACACATGTCTCAGTCTGACTCTGTCACTGGTCGAGTGAGCATTACATCGCTCATTCATCCGAAACATTTTGTAATAATCCATTGCTTTTTGTGCTTAACTATTGAGTGTGATTGTGAAACAAGCCACCATGGGCCCAAAGAAAGTTCTTAGTACCAGCCCTTTGGTAAAGGTGAGAAACACGATAGAATTCAAGAAATAAGTCCTTATGGAGGGGGATTCTCTTTCCTAACAATAAGCTATCTGCTCTCTCCCCTCCTCAACAAGAGTCTTCAATGAAGGTATGTAATAGTGATTTAAATGTTCATGTATCCATTTCATTAGTGCTTTTTATATATTTCTCATTGTTTTCTGTATGTAAAACTATAGTTATTCTTTAAAAAATGTATTTTTTGTTAATATTTTTGGGTGTCTGGAACGGATTAATTGTATTTACATTATTTCTTATGGGAAATATTACTTCAGTTTTTGTACGCTTCGGATTTAGACCTACCTTCTGGAACGGATTAAGTATGAAATCCGGAGTTCCACTGTATGTATATATAATACATGTATATATATATATAATATATATATATATATATATATATAATATATATATATATATATATATATAATATATATATATATATAATACATGTATATATATACATTTATATATACATATATATATATATAAAATATATATATATATATATATATATATATATATATATATATATATATATATATATATATATATATATTATGTACGAATATATATATATATACGGATTAATGCCGTTGGTTGAGGGTCCACTGTATATATATATATATATATATATATATATATATATATATATATATATATATATATATATATATATATATATATATTATATATAATATATATATATATATATATATATATATATATATATATATATATATATATATATATATATATATATATACAGTGGACCCCCGCATAACGATCACCTCCGAATGCGACCAATTATGTAAGTGTGTTTGTACGTGTATGTTTGGGGGTCTGAAATGGACTAATCTACTTCACAATATTCCTTATGGGAACAAATTCGGTCAGTACTGGCACCTGAATATACTACTTCTGGAGTGAAAAAATATCGTTAACCGGGGGTCCACTGTATATACAGTGGACCCTCAACCAACGGCATTAATCCGTTCCAGAGGACTTGCCGTTCGTCGAGTTAATTTTCCTCATAAGAAATAATGGAAATAGAATTAATCCGTTCCAAACCCCAAAGTCTGAAAAAAAAAATTTTACATGAAATATACATTTCCTTATATGGAAAGGAATGGGGCATGCAAAATATACAATAATTAAATGTCACTTACCTTTATTGTGTTGTTGATGAGTGATGTGCCAACAGCAGGGGAAATTCAGAATTGTCTATTGCTTGGAAGGAGAATCCCCTTCCAGAAGGACTTCAGATACCAAGTCCTTTGGTGGAGTTACTTCCCTCCTTGGTTTTTTAATGCCACTAGGACCAGCTTGAGAGTCACCGGACCCCTGTCACACAAAATAGCTGTCCAGAGAGCTCTGTTTCTCATGTACCCTTAGGATTTCCTTAAAATGGGACAGAAGAGTGTCATTGTACATGTACATTTCCATCATAATTCTTACCCTTTTTAACACAGGCTTGGCACTAGAAGTTTTCTTGGGACCCATGGTAGCTAATTTAGTGGTTAAAAGCACTCGAAATATTGGAATAATCCAAAATATATGGGAGGCACATGTGGAAACTGACCACAACAGCTTGTAAACAATGGCACACTGACTCTTGGAATGGCTGGGCCTGCTCAGGCCATGCTCTAGGCACATAGACACGTTCTGGATAAACGTCATTGATTAAGTTTTTCGCCGTTGGTTTAGGCATTTTTTCTACGGCAAGAAACGCCATTAGACGAAATTGCCATTACTTAATGCCGCTGTTAGTTGAGGGTCAACTGTGTATATATATATATATATAATATATATATAAATATATATAATATATATATATAATATATATATATATATATATATATAAACTTTCTTCATCCATCATCAATTACATCTTGCTCCCGCAATGTTGCATCTTCACCCTAGATACCAGTGTTGGTGGACCTTCCTGGAGTGGGCAGCAATCTACAGGACCATCCAGCTGTCGTCGGCCTCTCGTGGACTGTCAAGCCAGGATCTGCTTCCAGCTTATTGGCTTTCATCAATCCCGCAGACACTAGAAATTACATCCAGAACAGACAAGGATCATTTCTGTATTTCGTAGCTGCACCGGGAGTTAGTTTAATAGTTACATTTTTCAGCCTTCCCGGGGGCGGTAGTCAGAAGAATACAGAAGCACGTAATGAATCCAGAGACTGGGCACCAATCTTATGATAGTTAAGTTACAGTTATTGTAAAATATTCACACATACACATGGACCATAAGTACATATATATATATATATATATATATATATATATATATATATATATATATATATATATATATATATATATATATATATATATATATTTATTTATTTATTATTATTATCACACTGGCCGATTCCCACCAAGGCAGGGTGGCCCAAAAAAGAAAAACTTTCACCATCATTCACTCCATCACTGTCTTGCCAGAAGGGTGCTTTACACTACAAGTTTTTAAACTGCAACATTAACACCCCTCCTTTAGAGTGCAGGCACTGTACTTCCCATCTCCAGGACTCAAGTCCGGCCTGCCGGTTTCCCTGAATCCCTTCATAAATGTTACTTTGCTCACACTCCAACAGCACGTCAAGTATTAAAAACCATTTGTCTCCATTCACTCCTATCAAACACGCTCATGCATGCCTGCTGGAAGTCCAAGCCCCTCGCACACAAAACCTCCTTTACCCCCTCCCTCCAACCTTTCCTAGGCCGACCCCTACCCCGCCTTCCTTCCACTACAGACTGATACACTCTTGAAGTCATTCTGTTTCGCTCCATTTTCTCTACATGTCCGAACCACCTCAACAACCCTTCCTCAGCCCTCTGGACAACAGTTTTGGTAATCCCGCACCTCCTCCTAACTTCCAAACTACGAATTCTCTGCATTATATTCACACCACACATTGCCCTCAGACATGACATCTCCACTGCCTCCAGCCTTCTCCTCGCTGCAACATTCATCACCCACGCTTCACACCCATATAAGAGCGTTGGTAAAACTATACTCTCATACATTCCCCTCTTTGCCTCCAAGGACAAAGTTCTTTGTCTCCATATATATATATATATATATATATATATATATATATATAATATATATATATATATATATATATATATATATATATATATATATATATATACAGTGGTACATCTGTGTATATCTTAAATTTGACTCTCATTTAACTTTGATAGTCATACGTTAAACCTCTCTTTGGACTATGTAAAAATATGTTATATATTTTCTCCAGCAGGCATGCGTGAGCGTGTTTGATAGGAATGAATGGAGACAAATGGTTTTTAATACGTGACGTGCTGTTGGAGTGTGAGCAAAGTAACATTTATGAAGGGGTTCAGGGAAACCGGCAGGCCGGACTTGAGTCCTGGAGATGGGAAGTACAGTGCCTGCACTCTGAAGGAGGGGTGTTAATGTTGCAGTTTAAAAACTGTAGTGTAAAGCACCCTTCTGGCAAGACAGTGATGGAGTGAATGATGGTGAAAGTTTTTTTTTTTCGGGCCACCCTGCCTTGGTGGGAATCGGCCGGTGTGATAATAAAAAAATAAAAAAATATTTTCTCCCCGTCAGTCCAATTCTGAAATATAATGGTACAAAAGTTTGGTATAAAAAGATGCAAAATTCTATCACTTTAGGACCAATTTAAATGAATAATTTCAGCTCTGGGACCTTTTGAAATGACCATGGTCCTAGGACTCTGGTCACTCCATTAAACATACTCTAAATTCTTTGATTTTTTGTGTCTTGGCTCCGCAAAAAGCAGTAATAACGTCCGGAGTCTGATTGACTGTTTGATGGTTATAGCAGTAAAAGTCTGAAGCATAATAGTCATGTAAATTAACTATATCAACACCTGTGTTTATATAATGGCACCAATGTTTTTTTTTTTTTTTTGTGATCGCCAGGTCCTTTAACGAATCCATTGGCCGTGGAGGGATATGCTTGGAACCTAGCCGAAGAAGGTGACCCGTATTGGCCAGAGTTTCAATATATTTTACTGTCTGGCACTCCAGCGGCCAACGCTGGACTGGCGCTTACTGATCTCCCGGACTTCAGTAGAGATGTAAGTTGAAGAGAAAGTCGTGCTACTGAAGGAGAGAAATACGGTGGTTGAAGCTCGTTGAAATAATATTAATTATAATAATATAATAATAATATCTTTAGTACGAGTACATGTACAAGGTATACAAGTACACAAGTCCATGTACAAGGTATACAAGTACATGTACAAGGTATACAAGAACATGTACCAGGTATACAAGTACATGTACAAATTCAAATTCAAATTCAAATTCAAAGTTTATTCTCTATAACACCAACGTCAAAGACCTGGGAGTGATCATGTCGGAGGATCTCACCTTCAAGGACCATAACATTGTATCAATCGCATCTTCTAGAAAAATGACAGGATGGATAATGAGAACATTCAAAACTAGGGAGGCCAAGCCCATGATGACACTCTTCAGGTCACTTGTTCGATCTAGGCTGGAATATTGCTGCACACTAACAGCACCTTTCAAGGCAGGTGAAATTGCTGACCTAGAAAATGTACAGAGAACCTTCATGGCGCGCATAACGGAGATAAAACACCTCAATTACTGGGAGCGCTTGAGGTTCCTAAACCTGTATTCCCTGGAATGCAGGCGGGAGAGATACATGATTATATACACCTGGAAAATCCTAGAGGGACTAGTACCGAACTTGCACACGAAAATCACTCACTACGAAAGCAAAAGACTTGGCAGACGATGCACCATCCCCCCAATGAAAAGCAGGGGTGTCACTAGCACGTTAAGAGACCATACAATAAATGTCAGGGGCCCAAGACTGTTCAACTGCCTCCCAGCATACATAAGGGGGATTACCAACAGACCCCTGGCAGTCTTCAAGCTGGCACTGGACAAGCACCTAAAGTCGGTTCCTGACCAGCCGGGCTGTGGCTCGTACGTTGGTTTGCGTGCAGCCAGCAGCAACAGCCTGGTTGATCAGGCTCTGATCCACCAGGAGGCCTGGTCACAGACCGGGCCGCGGGGGCGTTGACCCCCGGAACTCTCTCCAGGTAAACTCCAGGTATAAGGATTACAATGCTGAATTTACAGAATTTGGTTATTGTGTGGTTTACATGTAGTTAAATAATGATTACAAAGTGTACCACTAGAACACCTAGCATGGCTAGGCATTTCGGGCAGACTTAGTTTGATTTTTTATTTTAAAATATTACAAATTATGAGGTAAGTTGGTATTATGGCTAAGTGACTAAATACTAGTTTGTGAGTTTAGCAATGTGAATGCTTTTGTTTTGGCACAGTACATAGTTTCAGTATTGGAGTATCATAGGATTCATTATTTTAATATTGAGATTAATATTTCTGTTTATGGTCAAATGGTTGAGTGAGTGTAAGTGTGAACCACCAGATGGTATTCGTGTAGTTAGTTGATGGGGTGTATCAGGGAGATAAGATGTTTTCTTATGGTAGTTTTGAAGGTGATGAATGTGTCTGCAGTTCTAGAGTTCTCAGGTAGGGTGTTCCAGATTTTAGGGCCTTTGACATACATTGAATTTTTGTAAAGGTTTAGTCGGACACGGGGAATATTGTAGAGATGTTTGTGTCTGGTGTTATGTCTGTGGGTTCTGTCATAACTATCAAGAAAGTGTTTTAGGTCAAGGTTGATATTGGCGTTTAAGGTCCTGTAGATGTAGATTGCACAGTAGTAAGTGTGGATGTACTGAACAGGGAGTAAGTTTAGATCTATGAAGAGTGGGGGGATGTGTTGCCAGGGATGGGATTTAGTGATTATTCTTACTGCAGCTTTTTGTTGGATTATTATTGGCTTTAGGTGTGTTGCTGCAGTTGATCCCCAAGCACAAATAGCATAGGTGAGGTATGGATAAATAAGTGAGTGGTATAGTGTGGGAAGGGCATTTTGCGGCACGTAGTATCGTATCTTGGAGAGGATCCCAACCGTTTTGGATACTTTTTTGGTTATGTGTTGGATATGGGTGCTGAAATTCAGGTTGTTGTCAAGGTATAGGCCTAAGAATTTGCCCTCATTATGTCTGGTAATTAGAGTGTTGTCGATCTTAATGTTAATTTGTGCATCTCCTGCTCTGCTACCAAACATAATATAGTAGGTTTTGTCAGTGTTAAGCGTAAGTTTATTGGCTGTCATCAAAGTCGATATTTTGATCAGCTCCTCGTTAACAATGGTGTTGAGGGTGGCAAGATTTGGGTGAGAGATGACATAAGTCGTGTCGTCAGCAAAGAGAATGGGTTTCAGGTGTTGGGATAGGTTTGGAAGATCATTCAAAGTTTATTCTCTATAAGGATTACAATGCTGAGTTTACAGAAATTTGGTATTGTGTGGTTTACATGTAGTAAAATAGTGATTACAGAGTGTACCACTAGAACGCTTAGCATGGCTAGGCATTTCGGGCAGACTTAGTTTTATTCTTAATTGTAAAATATTACAAATTATGAGGTAAGTTGGTATTATGGCTAAGTGACTAAATACTAGTTTGTGAGTTTAGCAATGTAAATGCTTTTGTTTTGGCACAGTACATAGTTTCAGTATTGGAGTATCACAGGATTCATTATTTTAATATTGAGGTTAATATTTCTGTTTATGGTCAAATGAGTCAGTGAGTGTAAATGTGAACCACCAGGTGGTATTCGTGTAGTTAGTTGACAGGGTGTTTCAGGGAGATAAGATGTTTTCTAATGGTAGTTTTGAAGGTGATGAATGTGTCTGCAGTTCTAGAGTTCTCAGGTAGGGTATTCCAGATTTTAGGGCCTTTGACATACATTGAATTTTTGTAAAGGTTTAGTCGGACACGGGGAATGTCGTAGAGATGTTTGTGTCTGGTGTTATGCCTGTGGGTTCTGTCACAACTATCAAGAAAGCATTTTAGGTCAAGGTTGATATTAGAGTTTAAGGCCCTGTAGATGTAGATTGCACAGTAGCAAGTGTGGACGTACTGAACAGGGAGTAAATTTAGGTCTATGAAGAGTGGGGGGGTGTGTTGCCAGGGATGGGATTTAGTGATTATTCTTACTGCAGCTTTTTGTTGGGTTATTATTGGCTTTAGGTGTGTTGCTGCAGTTGATCCCCAAGCACAGATAGCATAGGTGAGGTATGGATATATAAGTGAATGGTATAGTGTGAGAAGGGCATTTTGTGGCACGTAGTATCGTATCTTGGAGAGGATCCCAAGGTATACAAGTACATGTACAAGGTATACAAGTACATGTACAAGGTTAATATTGGAATTTAAGGTCCTGTAGATGTAGATTGCACAGTAGTAAGTGTGGATGTACTGAACAGGGAGTAAGTTTAGGTCTATGAAGAGTGGGGGGGTGTGTTGCCAGGGATGGGATTTAGTGATTATTCTTACTGCAGCTTTTTGTTGGGTTATTATTGGCTTTAGGTGTGTTGCTGCAGTTGATCCCCAAGCACAGATAGCATAGGTGAGGTATGGATATATAAGTGAATGGTATAGTGTGAGAAGGGCATTTTGTGGCACGTAGTATCGTATCTTGGAGAGGATCCCAAGGTATACAAGTACATGTACAAGGTATACAAGTACATGTACAAGGTTAATATTGGAATTTAAGGTCCTGTAGATGTAGATTGCACAGTAGTAAGTGTGGATGTACTGAACAGGGAATAAGTTTAGATCTATGAAGAGTGGGGGGGGGTGTTGCCAGGGATGGGATTTAGTGATTATTCTTACTGCGGCTTTTTGTTGGGTTATTATTGGCTTTAGGTGTGTTGCTGCAGTTGATCCCCAAGCACAGATAGCATAGGTGAGGTATGGATATATAAGTGAATGGTATAGTGTGAGAAGGGCATTTTGCGGCACGTAGTATCGTATCTTGGAGAGGATCCCAAGGTATACAAGTACATGTACAAGGTATACAAGTACATGTACAAGGTATACAAGTACATGTACAAGGTATACAAGTACATGTACAAGGTATACAAGTACATGTACAAGGTATACAAGTACATGTACAAGGTATACAAGTACATGTTCAAGGTATACAAGTACATGTACAAGGTATTCAAGTACATGTACAAGGTATACAAGTACATGTACAAGGTATACAAGTACATGTACAAGGTATACAAGTACATGTACAAGGTATACAAGTACATGTACAAGGTATACAGGTACATGTTCAAGGTATACAAGTACATGTACAAGGTATTCAAGTACATGTACAAGGTATACAAGTACATGTACAAGGTATACAAGTACATGTACAAGGTATACAAGTACATGTTCAAGGTATACAAGTACATGTACAAGGTATACAAGTACAAGTACAAGGTATACAAGTACATGTACCAGGTATACAAGTACATGTACAAGGTATACAAGTACATGTACAAGGTATACAAGTACATGTACAAGGTATACAAGTACATGCACAAGGTATACAAGTACATGTACAAGGTATACAAGTACATGTACCAGGTACACAAGTACATGTACTAGGTATACAAGTACATGTACAAGGTATACAAGTACATGTACAAGGTATACAAGTACATGTACAAGGTATACAAGTACATGTACAAGGTATACAAGTACATGTACAAGGTATACTAGTACATGTACAAGGAATACAAGTACATGTACAAGGTATACAAGTACATGTACAAGGTATACAAGTACATGTACAAGGTATACAAGTCCATGTACAAGGTATACAAGTACATGTACAAGGTATACAAGTACATGTACAAGGTATACAAATACATGTACAAGGTATACAAGTACATGTACAAGGTATACAAATACATGTACGTACAAGGTATACAAGTACATGTACAATGTTTACAAGTGCATGTACAAGGTATACAAGTACATGTACAAGGTATATAAGTACATGTACAAGGTATACAGACCATAGCTGACATCAGTGACATACTAATATATAGAAAGCCCCTTGTTATGCTGAGCATTTCCCGCAAATCATGTCAGTTTTGTCCCAGGATGCGACCCACACCAGTCCACTAACACTCAGGTACCCATTTTACTGATGGGTGAACATAGACAACCTGTGTGTGGAAACACGTCCAGTGTTTCCACCCGTTCGCCGGGAATCGAACTCGGACCCTTAGCGTGTGAAGCAAAAGCTTTTGCCACCAAGCCACGGGGCACCGTGCCTATAACAATAGTTTTAGGCTTAAGTTTTCTTGTTTATCCCTCCATGTGTGTATGCCATACTCACCTCCTCCAGGTATTAGACTCTGATCTTGACTGTTAAGACACATGTCTGGGTATCTTTATTCAAAAGACATTCAGAATGATATACAGGCTGAATGTCTTTCCATTAAAGATACCGAATGGTGTACATGTCTTATCCAACCATTTATCACACTTATTTTGCAGTTCTTCCATCGGTATTTTGGACCTATAAAGGTGAAGCAAGGGTTTACCATTTTGCCTGTCTTGCTTCGAGAAAAGAGCCGAGGGACTGTACGGCTGAGGTCTGGCGACCCTCACGAGTCCGCTCTCATTGACCCCAACTTCCTCAGTCACCCTGATGATGTTGCTTCCCTAATACGTGGTAAGTGCGTGAGTACATGAGAGTATGAGAGTACATGATCTGGGACAAAAGACATAATAGATAGTGTTTAGAAGATTTATGTTGTTATAATGCTTGTCAGGACAGTCCCGCCACGGGTCCTAATTTTTCGACGACCCGTTTTCCCCAACACGGACTGGAGAGGGACAACAGCTGTATATGGAGGTGCTGCAAGTCAAGTGCTTATACAACTGAAAGACTTCTGAGAAGCAGTTTCAGCAGTGTTCTGAAGTTCCGCACTTATCACACTGAAGAATCAGTGGCTGGTATCTTTCCCTTTGGCGGTGTTAGTGAAGAACGAGTGAACATGGACACAAGAGTGTAACCCTGCACTAGGCCTATTGGCCCTTACTGGGCAGATCTAGTTCAAGCCCACCTACACAATAAACTTACTCACGAAATCGTAAACAAACCACGGAATGGATGGGACTCTCTTGCCATGGGTTCGAATCCCACCCGTTCTGTGACTGATGAAAACAACGTGTTGGAACATCCAAAGAAAGAGCATGAGTTTCAAAAGATGTTTGAAAAGGTCCCTTTTATGGTCCAACCATCTCTTAACACTTCAGAAGTCAGACTACCAGTTGAACACAGACTAGTTCCCCTGGAGAGGCAGAAGCTACGTGAGTTGTACCTCAGGGACATTCAGACTTAATCCTCCACTATAGTACTGGGTGTATACCTGGAGAGGCTTTCGGGGGTCAACGCCCCCACAGCCCGATCTGTGACCAGTCTGTGACGAGTACTTTTAAAAAGCACTTTAACGTTGGAAAAACAGAGTACTGGATGTGTGTTGGAGAAGATACTGGACATAATTCCGTAAAAAAAATTTTATTCAGCAAGTACAGGCGTTGTTATTGAAGCCCTAAGTTACTATATCTTAATATTTCCTTTCGATTATTATTAGTCATTTATGATATATCTCTTCATTACGTATTTTTAATTAATATAAATTGAATAAAGAAGAAGGTTATGTTAGAATTCGTCAGGAAACAAAATAAGTGTTTCCTGGTGCTGGTCTTAGTCATATGAAGACCCGCCACTGGAGTTTTTGTCATCTGACCGAGACCTTCCACTGGCTTTCCGGTCCACCAATTAAAAATTTAAAATTATAAGCAATCATTTTGTCTAAAACACTAGTTAAAAATAAGATCAAAATCAAGAAAAAAAATCACATTATAATTTATCTAGATTCATTTTAAAAATAATATGACTAATAATTTACCATAGTCTGCAGTAATAATATATTATAATATTAATGTATAACAATAAAAATAAATTCCACAGGTATACAGTTTACTCTGGCCATTGGTAATACAACAGCTCTGAAGAGAGTCCATGGAGCCAGGTTCTATGATAAGGAATGTTTATACAGTCGAACCTCGGTATCCGATGATTCGATTCGGTATCCGTTGTTTTGGTAGCCAGCGCTGTTTCGGTATTCGCTGTTTCGGTATTCGCTGTTTCGGTTATCCACTGTTTACCTCGGCCCAAACATGTCTCTTAACTTCATAAGCTTGTAATGTTTACAGGATAACTTCTTGAATGTTTTTTGATAGATTAAAGATCAGTCTTGGTGGAGACAGATGGTAGAGTTGAACAATATAGATAAGGCTGCAGGTCACCTGTACACCACCAGTCAAGAATACTTTCATACCTAAACTACTGATTAGTGTATATTATCTGTGTATGTACATTGAGAGATACACATCTTTCCATGTATATACCTTACGACTGATAGTAATTTTTCCATAAAATGGTAATCAATATATATATATATATATATATATATATATATATATAATATATATATATATATATATATATATATATATATATATATATATATATATATATATATATATATATATATATATATATATATATATATATATATATGTCGTGCCGAATATGTAAAACTGGTCAATTAGCAAGAACTCGTTTAAAATTAAGTCCTTTCTAAAATTTTCTCTTATACGTTAAAAGATATATTTTTTTCATTAATGTTAATGTAAAAATTTTTAATTTTGCACCAAAAGAATCTTAGAAAACTTACCTAACTTTATGATAACAAGAACAATTTATCTTAGCCTAACCCAACTAAATATATTTTAAATACGTTTACAATAATTTAGTACTAAACAAACACAATAAAATATATTTTTTTTCGTTAGGTTCAGAATGATTTTGGCGAAATTATTGCATACACAAATTTCTACTTGTCCTATATGGCAAGACGAGCGTTGCTATTTAAGCCAAGGGTTGTTGAGGTGGTTCGGACATGTAGAGAGAATGGAGCGAAACAGAATGACTTCAAGAGTGTATCAGTCTGTAGTGGAAGGAAGGCGGGGTAGGGGTCGGCCTAGGAAGGGTTGGAGGGAGGGGGTAAAGGAGGTTTTGTGTGCGAGGGGCTTGGACTTCCAGCAGGCATGCGTGAGTGTGTTTGATAGGAGTGAATGGAGACAAATGGTTTTTAATACTTGACGTGCTGTTGGAGTGTGAGCAAAGTAACATTTATGAAGGGATTCAGGGAAACCGGCAGGCCGGACTTGAGTCCTGGAGATGGGAAGTACAGTGCCTGCACTCTGAAGGAGGGGTGTTAATGTTGCAGTTTAAAAACTGTAGTGTAAAGCACCCTTCTGGCAAGACAGTGATGGAGTGAATGATGGTGAAAGTTTTTCTTTTTCGGGCCACCCTGCCTTGGTGGGAATCGGCCGATGTGATAATAAAAAAATAATAAAAAAATATATATATATATAATATATATATATATAATATATATTATATAATATATATATATTATATATATATATATATATATATATATATATATATATATATATATATATATATAATATATATATATATAGTTGTTTATATAATGTATTTATTTACCGAATTTCAATGCCATATATATACAAATACAATATCTCACATATGTTATAATGTCAGGTAAAGTGGCATTATACATTCAGTTTACCACTTACACACTATGTATGCAGGTGTTGCCAGGATGTGAGAGAGAGGTGTATGGATCTGACAGCTACTGGGCATGTTATACACGATTCACAGCCCAAACTATATATCACCCGGTTGGTACCTGTAAGATGGGGGGGGTACCCCGTCTTCAGACCCTCTGGGTGTTGTGGACCATACTCTCAAGTAAGTGGAATAATAATGTTTATTTCTACAAGTACACAGACCATAGCTGACATCAGTGACATACTACTATATAGAAAGTCACTTGTTATGCTGAGCATTTCCCGCAAATTAGGTCAGTTTTGTCCCAGGATGCGACCCACACCAGTCCACTAACACCCAGGTACCTATTTTATACTGATGGGTGAACAGGGACAGCAAGTGTCTTAAGGAAACACGTCCCTAATGTCTTCCAGCCGTACCAGAGATTCGAACTCCAGACTTCAGTGTGTGAGCTGAGAGCGCTAGCCATCGAGCTACGGGAACTCTTGTTGTGTTAAAGATTAATGAGTGTATCTCATCCTAGAACTTAACCAAAGAGTGATGTACATCACTCGGATATTGTAGACGTGATTTCGTTAATAATCATCTATAGAATAATCAGTTTGAAGTGTAATTATTATTAATATTATTATTATTATTATTATTATTATTATTATTATTCAGAGGGAGAAAACTAAACTCCTAAGGATTATATAGCTTCTGGAATATTTAAGGCAATAAGATTTGATCCAAGGGAATACAGCTCCAATGCCGTGAAACAAGAACCTTCATCAAGGCACCTTCCCATATATGTTATCATTCAAAAATTAACGCCTCAGACAAAAAAAAAATCTCAGTTGATAGTATATCCTAGCACTTTTTCGCCTTGTGTAATATATGGGTTCTTCAAATTCAATTCCCCTTTCAGGTTACGAGGCGTGAGAGGGGTACGGGTAGTCGATGCTTTTATCATGCCCCAGATCGTGACGGGCAACCTGAATGCCCCAACTATCATGATTGGTGAGAGAGCTGCTGATCTTATCAAGCAAGATTGGGGAATCTTGATCTAAGTCTTGCAATAATATTGCAAGGATCCCATTACAAATACGTCACTTTAACTTGACTGGGTTTTAATGGGTAATTTACACGTATGTTGATGTGTAAATCAATTGTAAAAATGTAAGTTTGTGAAAGATATGTGAATAAACTTACTTATATGATCAGCCGGGCTGTGGTTCATACCTCGGTTTACGTGCGGCCAGCAGTAACAGCCTGGTTGATCAGGCCCTGATCTGCCACGAGGCCTGGTCACGGACCGGGCCGCGGGTATACCGTAGTACATGTAAGAAATTATCATGATATAAACACTAAGAGAATAAAATCTCACAGTGCATATACACTGATAATTTATTTAAATCCCAATTTATGGTATTAAAGTATTCTTGACTGGTAGTGTACAAGTACCATACAACCCTAATTCTGTCAGACACAACAACAACTTGCGATAGAGTGACGTCTTCAAGGCCTATCTAACCCATAGGCCCGACCTACTTCCGCTAGTGCGTTCTTTTCACTGGTGACTCCTCCTACCACTGCTACATCTCATCTCCGCTAGTATGCTGAACTTATATCAAGATTGATACCGTGAACACATCGACTCCAGGCTCAGGGACCGATTACCTCTAACACCTCCTCATCTTCCACCGTTCTCGGCATTGTACTGAAGAAGCCGCTAGCTGACGAAACATTTCCAGATTAAAAATACCCAAACTCTGCACACGTATCTTAATTATCAACCTTAATGGCCCTCTTAAAGTCCATGTAACTTAAACATAACGTGCTTAAAAAGGGGACTTTAGTTGAATACCCATTTAAACACAATGTAAGCACAATAGATGGTTAATGGAATTTAAAGCCTGTTTACTGATATATAACGCACCCAGCAGAGCTAGGTGTTTTACCGTGATCCGAGGAACATTAGCTCTGCTGGGTGCGTGATTCTTGTAGGATTGCGTGGTCCTGAGGGTTAAAGCGTCATGTGTGATATTTGATCACCATGAGGTGGGTCAAATCGACATGGGTTCGAATCCTCGGCTAGTAGCAGTGTTGTTACTGGTTCAGTACCACTCGTTCGTGGTTACAATAATATAAAATACTGCTGGTGAGGCTAGTACACCAAACAGGCAGTAGAATGAAATTAACTCAGAGGCACCCATATCATCGTATGTCCTCGGATCACAGTAAAACACCTAGTTCTGCTGGGTGCTTCATTCTTGTAGGATTGCGTGGTCCTGTGGGTTAGAGCGTCATGTGTGATTTTCGCTCACCATGAGGCGGGCCAAAACGACATGGGTTCGAATCCTCGCCTAGTCGCAGTGTTGTTATTGATATATATATATGTATATATATATATATATATATATATATATATATATATATATATATATATATATATATATATATATATATATATATATATATATATATAAAATGGGTGTGAGGTAAATATGACTTCAGGTGTAATATCTTACAGTAAAAATTTATTAAATACTCATCAATGTACAAGTATAGTAATATTTTATAGACAATAGTAATAATAATAATTATTATTCCCACAGTTAAAATTATTATTATATCCTTAACTATGTTCAAAGTTACTTGTTCACCTGAACTTTTCAGAATTGACCTGAACCATTCTAAATTAACCCCGGTTCTTATGAACTAATCTGAACTGTTCAGAATTGACCCAGATTGCTAGGAATTGATCTGAAGTGTTCGAAATTTGACCGAATTGATAGGAATTCTTCTGAAATGATCAGAATTTATACGAATTGTTAAGAATTAATTAGAATTGACATGAACTGTTCAGAATTGACTCAAGCTGTTCAGAATTTACCCAGACTGTTCAGAATTGACGCAAACTGTTCAGAATTGATGCAAACTGTTCAGAATTTGCCCAAACTATTCAGAATTGACCCGAACTGTTCAGAATTGACCTGAACTCCTGATGATTCATCCAAACTGTTCAGAATTAACCTAAACTCCTGAGAATTTACCTGAACAATTCAGAATTACCAAGAACTGTTCAGAATTAACCCAGTTAATCTGAACTCCTGAAAACTGACCTGATCTGTTCAGAATTGACTCGAACTCTTCAGAATGTATCTGACCTGTTCAGATTTTACTTGACCTACTTGGAATTGATCTGAAATGTTCAGAATTGACCTAACCTGTTCAAGATTTATCTCATATGTTCAGAATTTATCTGACTTGTTCAGAATTTATTTTACGTTATCAGAACGGTCCTGGACCGCTCAGAATTTATCTTAACTGATCGGAATTGATCCGAACTGCTTAGAATTTATCTAAAGTAGTTAGAATTAGACTGAACTGTTCAGAATTGGTTTAAACTGTAAAGATTTGAACTGATCCGCTCAGAATTATCCTTATTCAGAATTTATCTGATCTGTTCAGAATTTATTTAAATTATTCATATTTGAACTGATGTATTCAAAAAACTTAATTGAACTTTTCAGAATTTATCCGAAAAGCTCAGAATTTATTGGAAATGTTCGTAATTCATCCTAAATGCCTTGAGAGGAGGTAATTGTAGGGATGTACTGCCATGCTGAGCGACGCAGCATGGCAGCTCACCAGCTGCAGGTGATGCTGCAGGATCATGCTGCAGGTGGATGCTGTAAGATCATGCTGCAGGTGATGCTGCAGGATCATGCTGCAGGTGGATGCTGTAAGATCATGCTGCAGGTGATGCTGCAGGATCATGCTGCAGGTGGATGCTGTAAGATCATGCTGCAGGATCATGCTGCAGGTGGATGCTGTAAGATCATGCTGCAGGTGATGCTGCAGGATCATGCTGCAGGTGGATGCTGTAAGATCATGCTGCAGGTGATGCTGCAGGATCATGCTGCAGGTGGATGCTGTAAGATCATGCTGCAGGTGATGCTGCAGGTGGATGCTGTAAGATCATGCTGCAGGTGGATGCTGCAAGATCATGCTGCAGGTGGATGCTGCAAGATCATGCTGCAGGTGGATGCTGCAGGTGGATGCTGCAAGATCATGCTGCAGGTGGATGCTGTAAGATCATGCTGCAGGTGGATGCTGCAGGATCATGCTGCAGGTGGATGCTGCAGGATCATGCTGCAGGTAGATGCTGCAGGTGGATGCTGCAGGTGGATGCTGCAAGATCATGCTGCAGGTGGATGCTGCAAGATCATGCTGCAGGTGGATGCTGCAAGATCATGCTGCAGGTGGATGCTGCAGGATCATGCTGCAGGTGGATGCTGCAGGATCATGCTGCAGGTGGATGATGCAGGATCATGCTGCCGGTGGATGCTGCAGGTGGATGCTGCATGATCATGCTGCAGGTGGATGCTGCAAGATCATGCTGCAGGTGGATGCTGCAAGATCATGCTGCAGGTGGATGCTGCAAGAGCATGCTGCAAGATCATGCTGCAGGTGGATGCTGCAAGATCATGCTGCAGGTGGATGCTGCAAGATCATGCTGCAGGTGGATGCTGCAAGAGCATGCTGCAAGATCATGCTTCAGGAGGATGCTGCAGGTGGATGCTGCAAGATCATGCTGCAAGTGGATGCTGCAGGATCATGCTGCAGGTGGATGCTGCAGGATCATGCTGCAGGTGGATGCTGCAGGATCATGCTGCAGGTGGATGCTGAAGGATCATGCTGCAGGTGGATGGTGAAGGATCATGCTGCAGGTGGATGCTGAAGGATCATGCTGCAGGTGGATGCTGCAGGGTCATGCTGCAGGTAGATGCTGCACTATCATGCTGCAGGTGGATGCTGCACGATCATGCTGCAGGATCATACTGCAGGTGGATGCTGCAGGATCATGCTGCAGGTGGATGCTGCAAGATCATGCTGCAGGTGGATGCTGCAAGATCATGCTGCAGGTGGATGCTGCAAGATCATGCTGCAGGTGGATGCTGCAAGATCATGCTGCAATTGGATGCTGCAGTATCATGCTGCAGGTGGATGCTGCAGTATCATGCTGCAGGTGGATGCTGCAGGATCATGCTGCAGGATCATGCTGCAGGTGGATGCTGCAGTATCATGTTGCAGGGGGATGCTGCAGGATCATGCTGCAGGTGGATGCTGCAGGATCATGCTGCAGGTGGATGCTGCAAGATCATGCTGCAGGTGGATGCTGCAGGTGAATGCTGCAGGTGGATGCTGCAAGATCATGCTGCAGGTGGATGCTGCAAGATCATGCTGCAGGTGGATGCTGCAAGATCATGCTGCAGGTGGATGCTGCAGGATCATGCGGCATGTGGATGCTGCAGGATCATGCGGCAGGGAAATGCCGCAGGGAAAAAAAAGTCACGGAAGCCCTTATCGGAAACCACGAAGCTTGAATGGATGACTGTGTGGTGGAGGCACTGGTCTGGCAGGGGCCTCGACCCCCGTCTCTCTCGCTGAGGGCTGCGCCTCATCCTGGGAATAAGAGAAAATATAGCATTATTCTGTACTTGCGTTGCAGTATGGGTAAGTAACATTATTGGCAGACTGTTCTGGTATTAAGAATATAAGGAGCACTACAGGAGGCCTACTGGCCCGTGCTTGGCAAGCGATCTACCATACAGAGCTTCAGGACTAGATATGATAAGGCCCAAGAGGACAGAATTCAGTGAAGCCGATTAAGATGGTCTAGGTGGGGCCAGGAGCTGAGTCTTACCCTTTCCCCCGCACACACACACACACACACACACACACACGACTCCTGCAACCATAAATAGGTGAGAACACACACACAGGGACCAGGAGCTGTGAATTGACGCGTTCAACCACAAATAGGTTAGTAAACACATATACAGGGTAAATACGGACAGTCTATTTAAATTACGAGGACTAGGATCAAGGGGACACAAGGAGGCAGTGATTCAAATCAAAGTGGTCCAGGAGCTGAGTCTCATCCCTGCAACACTGCAACTAGCCGAGGGATCGAGCCCGTGTTGCTTTAGCCCGCCTCATGGTGAGCGAAAATTCACGACGATCTAACCCACTGGACCATCCAGCCCTATAAAGATCACGCACCTAGCAGAGCTAGGTGTTGTACCGTGATCCGACGACACAATGGTGTGGGTGCCTGAAAGCAATTTCATTCTACTCCCCGTTTGGTGTACTAGCCTCCACAAGCGGTATATATAGTATTGTAACCACGAACGAGTGATTACAATAATCAATAACAACACTGCGATTGCTACAGCAATTTTAATTTGTTTCCTGATAGTTTAAGCAGAATTTAGCTAAGAAATATTTAAGTTAGGTTAGAGTTTTAATAAGAAGTTGGTGAGTACACTGTCTCTCATGCTGTCTCTCTCACTCTCTTTTAAACTCACATGAGAGCTAGAAACCTGTGTCTCAGTCTGTGTATGAGACCAGCCATCCCTGCTTGCCTGAGATGGCAACACCTGTAGAACCCACAGCAGTATTACCATATTAATATGATTCAAAGCGAAACAGTTCATAAACGTGTGCTGGAGGCTCGACCCTCCGTCCCCTGAGAAGCGAGTCACACTCAACGTTGTGTGTAGCTCAGAGGAGCTCATAGGATATAGAATTTAGAGTACCCAAAAAACCAGAAACTGTAGTTCAATGTTTTATTTTTTTTACTTTCTGTAAATATTGCAATATTGCATAGCTCCTGACGACACACAAAGACTGTGAAAGATCTTGAGCTAAACATTTTCCTCCCTAAGTGCATTTGTATACTGTTGACTTTCTTTTGTTTACAACAATCTGTTATTATATGTAAATCACACTTTTTTCAGCGTAAATAGAAATTTACATTATTACTCACGTTACTGCCGAAGATTGAACTGAATATGTATAGGCTTCTCTCTGTCGTGGTCGTGGTGGGGGTTGTCGTAGTGGAGGTGGTGGTAGTAGTCGTGGTGTCGGGGCTCTGCGATGGGTCACTGGTCGTGCTGGTTACAACGTCGATGTTAGAGTAGAACAGACCCTGTGAAGGTCAGGTACCTTGGTTGACACTCGGTACAGTGTGTGAGTAAGTTTTGGATGTCGTACTATCTCTGTATGGGCTCGGTGCGTGTCCCATAAGGGTTTAGCGACTGGAGATTTATTCTGCATTGTGATCATATCACTGTGATGAAGTTAATTCACTAGATTTATTGTGTTCCCCCTAAGCATACTGTGGATGGCAGTCACTCCATACCCATCCTGTGGATGGCAGTCACTCAATACCCATCCTGTGGGCAGTCACTCCATACCCATCCTGTAGATGGCAGTCACTCCATACCCATCCTGTGGATGGCAGTCACTCAATACCCATCCTGTGGGCAGTCACTCCATACCCATCCTGTAGATGGCAGTCACTCCATACCCATCTTGTGGATGGCAGTCACTCCATACCCATCCTGTGGGCAGTCACTCCATACCCATCCTGTGGATGGCAGTCACTCCATACCCATCTTGTGGATGGCAGTCACTCAATACCCATCCTGTGGATGGCAGTCACTCCATACCCATCCTGTGGATGACAGTCACTCCATACCCATCCTGTGGGCAGTCACTCCATACCCATCCTGTGGATGGCAGTCACTCCATACCCATCTTGTGGATGGCAGTCACTCAATACCCATCCTGTGGATGGCAGTCACTCCATACCCATCCTGTGGATGACAGTCACTCCATACCCATCCTGTGGGCAGTCACTCCATACCCATCCTGTGGATGGCAGTCACTCAATACCCATCCTGTGGGCAGTCACTCCATACCCATCCTGTGGATAGTAGTCACCCAATACATATCGTGTGGATAGAAGTCACAACATATGTGTGTGGATGGTAATTAAAATATTACGGAGGTCCAGAAAATGGCCTCCAATGTATTCATAGTTAAGTTACAGAAATAATGACCTATTTACAAATTAATGAGCTGGCTTTGCAAAATTAAATCCAGTCATTATCTCAACAAATTGCATTCTGGCAGATAACAGTTGACTTTTTCTGTCTAGAACGCATAAGTTGACAGGTAAATCCCTCAAATTTCTACTTACAATCGGTATTGACATACCTTTACATACCTACATGCATCGTAATAGTTGTCAACCCTGTAATACTTCCTTCCCAGCCTAGATCTGGTCTAAGACCAGCCCTCGGGAAACTACAACCCTGAATACACTAATAGATCTCACCCACCGGAATTCCGTCATTGGCTGGTCCAGGAAGAGGCTTGGATCCCAATCTGCGCGACTCCCTCAGTTCTCCTTTGTCGTCAACTCCATCTAAATAAACAGGTACGAGACATTTATAGCATCAGCGACTAGGCACACAGTCTATTAGTTAACTTTATATTCTGTCGAACAGTGTTATGTATCCGCTTTTATATAGGTTTATGGTTTAGAAAGACACGTAAGCAAACACTATAACATATTTATTAGAAAACGTTTCGGTCCTGGGACCTTGATCACTTCTAACATACAGAGGTAGGAAGACATTATATATAGGCGGAGAGTGAGGTGTGACGTACGTGACCTGAGGAATGTCATAAGAACATAAGAATCACGTACGTGATTTCATCGTCTGCCCGTCCTCATCATGGGCGGAGGTTGTCTTTGATGGGGACCTGCCTCGCATGGGCCAGTAGGCCTTCTTCAGTGTTCCTCCATTCTTATGTTCTTATGACATTCCTCAGGTCACGTGCGTCACACCTCACTCTCCGCCTATATATAATGTCTTCCTACCTCTGTATGTTAGAAGTGATCAAGGTTCCAGGACCGAAACGTTTTCTAATAAATATGTTATAGTGTTTGCTTACGTGTCTTTCTAAACCAACTTGTCGGTATTTATTACCAAGGTTTATACCATATAGGTTTATATAGGCTTATCCAGTAGTTTTTAGAACCTATGTGCTTATTATAGACGAAACAGATAGTCTTGTAAAGGAGAGTAGTATGTGATGATGGCAGGAAAATGCAGCAATTCTGACTTTGTAAACAGTTAGTCGGGATCTGATAATGGCCCAAAAAGAACCGAAATCTCATCTAAAATTATCTTAAGTTTTGTGAAGTGTTCTAGCCATAGTATTATGACTTATATTTTTGTTCATAGCAGTAATAGTAGTAGTAGTAATAGTAGTAGTAGTAGTAGTAGTAGTAGTAGTAGTAGTAGTAGTAGTAGTAGTAGTAGTAGTAGTAGTAGTAGTAGTAGTAGTGGGGGCAGTAGTTGGTAATGTATGTTAAATGAAGGGTAACGTGTTTATAATGAATGGTTTTAAAATAAGGTCTAAATCTTGTCTACTACACAAAGGTCATTAAGGCTGCTTGTCAATTGTTCACCACCAGTCAAGAATACTTTAATACCTAAAATGATGATGGAGGGAAACTCCCAGCATACCTACACTGTGAAACATAAACCTCACGATGTATACGGGGCCAGGAGCTATGCCTCGACCCCCTCCAACCACAACTAGGTGAGTACTCATCTCTCTGTATACCCAGAATACAGACTACTCACTCGGGTTAGCGCCGACTACAGCAGCTACAAGCAAAAGCACCAAGAATACCATCCTGGATCCTCTCCCTTGGACGTTCCAGCAAGAACTGGACGCCGGCCAGAGACTCCCTTATATGTATACCTGTGGTGTAAACTGCCAGGTATCCACACGCAGCTAAATTAAGAACTTTAGAAAGAGGGTGAACTACAGGAGATGTACTGGCCCATTCTAGGCAGGTCCAAGTCACTTACTGGCTTAAGGTAGTCAGATGTATATTAAAAATTTATACTCATTGCCTTTTCCACAAAGTCAAGAGCATTTTCTACGTCGTAATCATGTCTCCCATGACCTCGTTGTTTAAAAGCTACTAGCGTCAATTCTTTAAGACTTACCTTATCAAGACTGTAGAACTAAGTCGTAATTAAGGGAAGAATGAACGGGGACTCGAACCGTGGTCCACACGTGTGTATGTGTTTTGGTCAGACGTGGAACTCCATGGTGGGGCTGCATACCTAGACAGGAAGTAAAAATTCGAGTGTACAGGTGTTCTCAAGGACAGTTAGGCACCTAAGTTCGTGGATCTTATAAAGTTTCCTGTATACAAGAGAAGGCATGCTTCAATACTGTCATTCTTAAAAGCCTTCGTCAAATTCCTCAAGAAGGTCTGTAAGACTGACCTAGACCATGAAAGTCATCAGGGAAGGATTGTGTACACGGAGATTGACTGATGAATTCCTGGCCGAGCGGTACGTAAATGGTGTTGAATGGCAAGGAGGTCGGGGTTGCACAGACGGGAAGAAGTATTGACAGTTAAGACAATGCTAGCCCAAGTTGCTGGATCTAACTAATTAAACGGTTCTTGTGAAACACAGGTCCCAAGTACCAATGTCGTTGTCGGTAGAAATGTGTCCCTTGCTCGATTTAGCGCTATCAGTAAGCTGACACCATGAAGGTCAGTAAGGTTCGATCACGGGTCACGGTGGATCTATGTGATGTGTTTCCTTATAGACTCTAAACTGCCATGTTGCACCTAGCAGTAACTTAGGTACTGGGAAGGTTTGCACTGGTGTGGTCCATCCTGGGGTACAATAACTGACGCTTATTTGCAACACGAAGCCTTTGCTGTGGTGTGAGCTAATGTTGTCACAGTTGTACATTAAGCTCTAGTACAGTAAATTGAGTTATTGTAATCTAGTATTATTAAGTTATTATCTATTATATGTCATTATCTACTTATATATTAGGTTACTTTTATATGTAGTCATTGATTTAATTATCGCTTTATGGAACGTAATGTTGATAGTACAGTTGCGCTTTGGCAGAAGAAGCCAATTTGACAGTGTATGAGCTTATTATGCACAGTAAAGCTCTATTATGCAAGTAAAGCTCTATTTATGGTCAATTATAAGTTATCTTAGGACAGTAAAGTCTATTATGGCACAGTAAGCTCTATTTGGCACATGTAAAGCTCTATTATGGCACAGTAAAGCTCTATTATGTCAGAGTAAAGCTCTATTATGGCACAGTAAAGGCTCTATTATGGCACAGTAAAGCTCTATTATGCACAGTAAAGCTCTATTATGCACAGTGTTATCAGTAAAGCTCTATTATGGCAAGTAAAGCTCTATTATGCACAGTAAAGCTCTATTATGGCACTCATTTGTCATAAAGCTCTATTATGTCACAGTAAAGCTCTATTATGGCACAGTAAAGCTCTATTATGTCACAGTAATAAGCCAGTAATTATATGTCACAGTAAAGCTCTATTATGTCACAGGCTTTTAGTAAGCTCTATTATGTCACAGTAAAGCTCTATTATGTCACAGTAAAGCTCTATTATAGCACAGTAAAGCTCTATTATGTCACAGTAAAGCTCTATTATGGCACAGTAAAGCTCTATTATGTCACAGTAAAGCTCTATTATGGCAGAACCATATGTCCGTAAAGCTCTATTATGTCACAGTAAAGCTCTATTATGTCAGTAAAGCTTATAATGCCGTAAGCTCTTATGTCACAGTAAAGCTCTATTATGTCACAGTAAAGCTCTATTATGTCACAGTAAAGCTCTATTATGGCACAGTAAAGCTCTATTATGTCACGTTAAAGCTCTATTATATCACAGTAAAGCTCTATTATGTCACAGTAAAGCTCTGTTATGTCACAGTAAAGCTCTACTATAGCACAGTAAAGCTCTGTTATGTCACAGTAAAGCTCTATTATGGCACAGTAAAGCTCTATTATGTCACAGTAAAGCTCTATTATGGCACAGTAAAGCTCTATTATGTCACAATAAAGCTCTATTATGTCACAGTAAAGCTCTATTATGTCACAGTAAAGCTCTATTATGGAACAGTAAAGCTCTATTATGTCACGTTAAAGCTCTATTATATCACAGTAAAGCTCTATTATGTCACAGTAAAGCTCTATTATGTCACAGTAAAGCTCTATTATGTCACAGTGAAGCTCTATTATGGCACAGTAAAGCTCTATTATGTCACAGTAAAGCTCTATTATAGCACAGTAAAGCTCTATTATGTCACAGTAAAGCTCTATTATGGCACAATAAAGTTCTATTATGTCACAGTAAAGCTCTATTATGGCACAGTAAAGCTCTATTACGTCACAGTAAAGCTCTATTATGTCACAGTAAAGCTCTATTATGTCACAGTAAAGCTCTATAATGGCACAGTAAAGCTCTATTATGTCACAGTAAAGCTCTATTATGTCACAGTAAAGCTCTATTATGTCACAGTAAAGCTCTATTATGGCACAGTAAAGCTCTATTATGTCACAGTAGAGCTCTGTTATGGCACAGTAAAGCTCTATTATGTCACAATAAAGCTCTATTATGTCGCAGTAATGCTCTATTATGTCACAGTAGAGCTCTATTATGGCACAGTGAAGCTCTATTATGTCACAGTAAAGCTCTATTATGTCACAGTAAAGCTCTATTATGGCACAGTAAAGCTCTATTATGTCACAGTACAGCTCTGTTATGGCACAGTAAAGCTCTATTATGTCACAATAAAGCTCTATTAAGTCGCAGTAAAGCTCTATTATGTCACAGTAGAGCTCTATTATGGCACAGTAAAGCTCAATTATGTCACAGTAGAGCTCTGTTATGGCACAGTAAAGCTCTATTATGCCACAATAAAGCTCTATTATGTCGCAGTAAAGCTCTATTATGTCACAGTAGAGCTCTATTATGGCACAGTAAAGCTCTATTATGTCACAGTAAAGCTCTATTATGTCACAGTAAAGCTCTATTATGGCACAGTAAAGCTCTATTATGTCACAGTGAAGCTCTATTATGGCACAGTGAAGCTCTATTATGTCACAGTAGAGCTCTGTTATGGTACAGTAAAGCTCTATTATGTCACAGTAAAGCTCTATTATGTCACAGTAAAGCTCTATTATGTCACAGTAGAGCTCTATTACGGCACAGTAGAGCTCTATTATGGCACAGTAGAGCTCTATTATGGCACAGTAAAGCTCTATTATGGTACAGTAGAGCTCTATTATGTCACAGTAAAGCTCTATTGTGTCACAGTAGAGCTCTATTATGTTACAGTATAGCTCTATTATGGCACAGTAGAGCTCTATTATGGCACAGCAAAGCTCTATTATGTCACAGTAGAGCTCTATTATGTCACAGTAGAGCTCTATTATGTCACAGTAAAGCTCTATTATGTCACAGTAAAGCTCTATTATGTCACAGTAAAGCTCTATTATGGCACAGTAAAGCTCTATTATGGCACAGTAAAGCTCTATTATGCCACAGTAAAGCTCTATTATGGCACAGCAAAGCTTTATTATGGCACAGTAAAGCTCTATTATGCCACAGTAAAGCTCTATTATGTCACAGTAAAGCTCTATCATGGCACAGTAAAGCTCTATTATGTCACAATGAAGCTCTATTATGACACAGTAAAGCTCTATTATGGCACAGTAGAGCTCTATTATGTCACAGTAAAGCTCTATTATGTCACAATAAAGCTCTATTATGGCACAGTAAAGCTCTATTAAGTCACAGTAAAGCTCTATTTTGTCACAGTAAAGCTCTATTATGTCACAGTAATGCTCTAATATGTCACAGTAAAGCTCTATTATGGCACAGTAAAGCTCTATTATGGCACAGTAAAGCTCTATTATGTCACAGTAAAGCTCTATTATGGCACAGTAAAGCTCTATTTTGTCACAGTAAAGCTCTATTATGGCACAGTAAAGCTCTATTATGGCACAGTAAAGCTCTATTATGCCACAGTAAAGCTCTATTATGGCACAGCAAAGCTCTATTATGGCACAGTAAAGCTCTATTATGCCACAGTAAAGCTCTATTATGTCACAGTAAAGCTCTATCATGGCACAGTAAAGCTCTATTATGTCACAATGAAGCTCTATTATGACACAGTAAAGCTCTATTATGGCACAGTAGAGCTCTATTATGTCACAGTAAAGCTCTGTTATGTCACAGTAAAGCTCTATTATGGCACAGTAAAGCTCTATTAAGTCACAGTAAAGCTCTATTTTGTCACAGTAAAGCTCTATTATGTCACAGTAATGCTCTAATATGTCACAGTAAAGCTCTATTATGGCACAGTAAAGCTCTATTATGGCACAGTAAAGCTCTATTATGTCACAGTAAAGCTCTATTATGGCACAGTAAAGCTCTACTTTGTCACAGTAAAGCTCTATTATGGCACAGTAAAGCTCTAATATGTCACAGTAAAGCTCTATTATGTCACAGTAAAGCTCTATTATGGCACAGTAAAGCTCTATTTTGTCACAGTAAAGCTCTATTATGGCACAGTAAAGCTCTAATATGTCACAGTAAAGCTCTATTATGTCACAGTAAAGCTCTAATATGTCACAGTAAAGCTCTATTATGTCACAGTAAAGCTCTATTATGGCACAGTAAAGCTCTATTTTGTCACAGTAAAGCTCTATTATGTCACAGTAAAGCTCTAATATGTCACAGTAAAGCTCTATTATGTCACAGTAAAGCTCTAATATGTCACAGTAAAGCTCTATTATGTCACAGTAAAGCTCTAATATGTCACAGTAAAGCTCTATTATGTCACAGTAAAGCTCTATTATGGCAC